CAGCGGTTCACATAAATGCGGATAGTGTACAAGCACTGTGCGTAGCCAACCAGCATAATGTAAGCAGGTCATCAGTGTCAACCAGTATGTGCTAGTTGGCTAGTAAACTAGCACTAGCTAATCCACACAGATTTAACGATTCCCTCGAGGCTGTTGTCAATTATCCCATACCACTTTTAATTTTTTTGTATGGTCAATTGTATACGCAGGGGATCGATCACCTTGACAACCAGTGATGTCGAAAGAGAGACGGTAACTATGGTATGAACGATGGAAATTATGTACACAAAAAACACCCCCCTCCTCCCACCATAATGGCAACCCGAAAAATACATGAACTTTGACGATCACTTTTTTTTTTGATAAATCAACTAACAATTAAATTAAATTAATTCCACCCGCTTGCCCAGAAACAAATTGTTCACCCAGGACATTTTGATGATATTCTGACTAAAGCATATCTGGTACCTCTTTATATGCAATTATAGATTAACATCCGAAGTCCATCCTTTTTTACATATTCTGCACAAAAGATACTTTCTGCCCCGCGCATTCATAAAAAATGGCGGGAAATCCGTTCAGTTGCTGGGCTTAGAAAGTATTTTTTGTGCAGAATATGTAAAAAAGGAGGGACTTCGGATGTAAATATGTAAAGAAGGAGGGACGTCAGATGTTAACCTAAATGCATATACCGTGCATCAAAGAGAAAGAAGTGCGTGGGAACTTGAAACGGTAGATGTATATGTTAGCCGAAGTAAATAATCACTGAGATTATTTCTAATATAGTAGTTTGCTGTAGTACACAATGCCTCTCAAAAATAATTACAGTGAATATTCACTTCCGCTAAGAGATACACGTACCGTTTTAACTTGCCCTGGTGTACCTTAACCACAGACAAACAGACATAACTCTTAGAAGAAAATTCTTCAAAAAATAACGACAAGCGTATTTTGCATGCGCACTAGCACCATCTATCATCCACATTCCCTAGCAATGTTTTGCAACCGGAGAATCCCTCGAGCATGCAATTTTTTCACTAGTTGCTTTTCCCTCGTTCTGTCAACGCGTCAGCTGTGTTGAATAAAAACAAAACAGATGGAAGTCAGTGATGTCGGTTCTACGAAATTTTCCGAAGATCTATAGAATTGATTGAATTCTGCAGAAATACGGATCCGTAGGAAAAATTCTCAGAAGCTAAGACTTTTTTTAGGGATTTGTTTTGTTTGCTTGGCGTGCTTTTTCTTTTGCTGGAAACAAGTTTTTAAACAAGGTAAGGCATCACTTATTAGTGCCCTTTCTACCATCGTTCATCACTTCAATGTGTACACAGAAGACAAAAAATAATGTATCAATCAATGATATTCATGGTGAAGTATTGAACATCAATAACTGGTAAAAATTGATAGAATTTTGCAGTCTTCAACACGATTTGTTATCGAATTCTGTGTACATCGTACAACGTAATATTAGGAACGGAATGACTAATGTGCAGCAGTTGTGATGTAATAATCAACAACCTCTTTTGCTGTATTCGTCAGATGTGGTATGCGTCTCCAGTGGGATGCCGTGACCACTTATCATTTTCAAGAGCTGACATTTTATAACTAGACGTGAAAAAGAACTGGCATCACTGATAAGTTAGAAATTCTCCCAGCAAAACTGCTACTCAACGCGAAATAGTAAAGTAAAATTCGAACCACAATTTTATCATATGGATGAATATTGCAGATGCTCATTATGATTCTATTTTCAAGCCGTTCGTAATATTTCCCAACGTTGCCATTTTTGTTGTGATTAATGAGTATTTTCAGTTCAGTTTCAGGAATCATGTCAGAATGTCCATTTTCAAGCATGTCAACTTGAATATAGCTCAGTTCAAACATCAATTTGAACGGATCAAAAAAAAATAATAATTGCTCAATTCAAACATGGAAGAAGAATAAAATTCAGTGTTTGGAGTTGTATTTTATGCAATGCTACCAACTGTAAGTAAATACAGCAATAGGCAGGGTGTCGACTCAAAGTCGAAAATAAAATTCCCTGACTTTCCCTGACTTTCCAGTCAGTTTTCAGAAAAATTCCAGTCCACAAAACTTCGTTATTTTAACCTAAGAAGCTACAACGTGATGTGCTTTATTATACCGTAGCGTAAATTAAGGTTAGTTTAAAATGAGCAGCAGGGTAAGCTTTCGAAAATATCAAGAATAGCATACTCATGGCACTTACAACAGAACTTGATACTAATACAATTTTTACAGACCATATGACCGACTACCTACGAAGGATGTGAATAGACCTAGGGCTTTAAATACATATTATAATATAATAATGAATAACTACTGCTCACAACTAGGCTCCCTATTCATTACTAAGTAAGGGTTACCACAAAAGATCAAATAATGGACGCAGCTCTCAATTTGTGTTCATAATTTCACAGCCAAATAAAAATCAACCCGTAGACGATCCTTTCTCTTTACATATAAATTATTGTAAAATAAATACAAAAAAAATAAAAGGCATTAGTCAGTTTCGTACTCTCTAGAACTCCATATGACAACCGCAGACATGGTAAAATAATTTAAGTTTAATTATCATTAACATTTTATTCTCTCAGTGAGTTCACATTACAACGAGAAATTGCAAGTTGAATATGTGTTAATTTTCGGATTACTTTTAAAAATGTTTATCATGAACACTTTTCTCCTGCAAACGACGATCCTTGTCTACATGGAAAGCGAATGCGATTTTTCGAACTCGCTGAATAATTTCATTCAAAATTTGTAAGTTTTCGAACCCGCTTGCATGAGTAACACCATCATGGATCTGACGTCGCACTACGACTGAAGGTCCAAACGCAATGTGGGCGGAAGCGGAACGGAAACGGTGTCACAAATGACATCAAGATGCCTAACCGCACTCGATTTGATTCTAAAGGCCGGCGCACAATAGATACGTTTTCAGGTTTTTTGACAGTTAGCCCATGCATTATCTGTCAAAAAACCCGAAAACGTATCTATTGTGCGCCGGCCTTAACTAGTTTTCAATCCGACAAATAGGCTTACTCAGATCGGGCTTTTCCGCTTCCACTGCCGTTCCGCTGTCATTGCGCTTGGGCCTTGACTCTTCCCTCATGTTTTCAAAGATATTCTGCATTTACCAAAAAACCTCTCGCTGCATTGGCGTTGCCATGCGATAAGCAGCAAATCATTTTCACAACCAACAATAGTTCTGAATACGCCGACCAATAACCTGTGCCAAAAAACGTCCAGTCGTTCCGTTTTTGCGATGATATTGATCAAATGTGCATTTACCTGTGCAATATTGTTATTATTATTTATTATTAGTCCATCTGACTTTAAAGTCTTAATAAAACACTTAAAGCTAAAAGTAGTCATACATTAAAATTGCCCGACATTAAGCGATTACGAAATCTGGATGAAGTGATGCCAAAATTGAATTGGTCGGATACCACGTTGAATTCGTTCAATTCGTTCCAGTCTATCTCGGACAAGGAACGTCGCAGCAAACGTAAATCAGTCTTCCGGAAGTTGAGACGATAGACAATCGAAGTTTCATCAAAGTGAAGTTGAGATCTATTTGCGATAGAAATATCCAAAGCAGGATGGAAGTTGTCAAGAGGAACGATGACATCAGGCGCCTCAGTAACGGTACAGTCAAGAAGTGAATTTTCACTAACGAACACCAAGTCTAGGAAATGAGACTGAAAGTTGGGAACTAGATTTATCTGCCTCAATCCATGAAAACCAGTACCGTCCACAAGCAAGCTGCTGGCCGGAGTAGTAACAGATGCTTTTGGATCTGGATATGCAAATCCCTGACCTGAGTGCGACCAGATAAGCCCAGGTTGATTGAAATCACCGAGCATAAGAATCATGTCCGAATAATTAGCCCTAGAAGAAGCAAATTCTACAACATCCATATGAAGTTGCATTATGCAATGTGGGCGGAAGCGGAACGGAAACGGTGTCACAAATGACAGACGAGACGTCGTTCAGAATGTACACCGTTCAGATGGTTAATATTAATAAACCTTTCCATAACGCCTCTAACCATTTGAGACATTGCGTTGCACAAAAAAGGCACCATAAAATGTCCATCTGAAATTCGCATTGAAATGGCTCAACTTCGACAGCAACTGATTTAAAGAAAGCTAGCTTAATACCACGTTCAGACTACAGAGTTATAACATGTTATAACGTTTGTCAAAGCAACACAGAAACCACCATCAAGATAGTGCTATAACATGTTATAAATCTGTAGTCTGAACGTACTATTAGCCATCAGCAGCGAGACATTCAAACAGTTTTTAACATCTTGGTAGGAAGCTGACGTTGGCTCAATTTTGTCTTTCTGGACGCCTTGAATAAATTTTCGTATTTGCGGAGTAATTTTGATTGCCCTCTGAACAGCAGCACTATTTTCCAACCATCGGTGACCGCAAAACTTTAGCGGGAATATGGTAGATCTTGCTGGTACATCTTTGAAGATATTGTAGATACCACGCAAATATTTGACAACATCCCAACTAATCCTGCGAACACTATCCTTGAATGTATTATGCAAAATATACAGCCCACAGCTTCCCAGATCTATCAGCTTCTCGCCACCTTTTTGTACCTCTAGCTTCAATTCACATTGGGCCCATCCATGGACACTTGCAGCAACTTGTTCGACGAAATACCGGTAAGGGCGTCCATAAACGCAGCGAGTAGATCTGATGCCCGGGATCTTCCCAAAAACTTTGACGTCATGCACTGATAAAATTTCAAAGATTGTTTTATGTGTCCCACACATGATTTTTTGCAATGTGATAAACATTATTTTTTTCCCTGACCTACATTAAAATTCCCTGACATTCCCTGACTTTCCAGATCATAAATAGAATTCCCTGACATTCCCTGACTTTCCAGGTTTTTTCCAGGTAGTCGACACCCTGAATAGGCTATGGTCTTTCTTTCAACAATAAAACCCATATTAATTCCGGTGAAATTTTATATCGGGCTTATTACGTAGTTTGTAGTTTTCTCGAGACCTGATTTTACTAACTACTGAAAGTTTTTTTTAACACATGTGCAGACTGTCATAATCACTACAACATTAGGGTTTAATGTGTTCCGCTATCCAATCCATATAGGCTGCCACCCGACAGTATATACCGGGTACGCTCTTTTGCCCACAGGAATCCACTCCGAGGGAAACGATTCCGAACTGTACGAATCGAGCACCGTTATAATTGGCACTGAATCCAAGTGGTCCGCCAGAGTCACCCTTACAGGTATCGACCCTATCCTTACCCCCAGCGCACAACTGCTTATCGCTAAGCCGAATGCTCAATCGGTTTTCATTCATTTTCAGCTGACACTCGGATATGTCCACATGGCGTAAAACTGCCTCCAGCAAAATATTGGACCCCGTTTGAGCTTCTGTGGTTCCCCAACCAGTAACAACATAGTTTTCAAACGCTTGTCTTTGTAGATCCGCCGTAACTGGTAAACATATTGGTTTTATGTGATCTGTAACAAAATTATGGGCAGTTTGACAAACATATCCAGAAACAAGATTTGCTTCATATGGTATTTACCGTTCATAGTAACATCTTTATCCAGTCGAATCAATCCAATGTCGTTGCTGTATTTCGGTCGATTGTAATCTTGGTGAACATCGAACGATTCAATCCCGAACTCCTCAATCGGTCCAGCGCAGTCCCTTTCGATTTCTTCACCCTTGCTATCATGATAAATGTTGCAATCAATGTCTTGGCCCTTGGTATGTTCTCCGAGTACGACGCTATGTCTAGAACAAGGAAATGATACAATGAATAATTCTTCGAGCAAAGTAGTTCATTCAACTTACATTGGCATAGTACTTCTGGTCTTGAGACAATGTGCAGCCGTCAAGATGTACCGCTTGTTGATCAGCGATCCACCACATCCATCTATGATTGCACCATTGTAATCGTACCGTAGAACAGCCATCCAGGGATAGCTAAACACTTTAGTAATATTTCCGTAAGCGAGCCTATCGTCGACTCTTAGGCCACAGTCTCTGGGTAGTAGATTCAAGTTTGCGCCTAAAGCAGGACTGGCCGTTGTCGTAGGCGGCTCCGGGATAACTTCTGCCGGCTGACAGCAAATACTACGCGTCACTCCCGGTAGCGTGCAGGCAGCCCTTTTGATGTAGTTAGCAATGCCCGTAGACGGTGGAGTTGGATTGCTAACTATGGTGTAGATGTTTCGGCACCGTTCGATCGAGACGCACGAACCGGGGTGCTTGGTTGGAGTTGTACATGGGGCACTTTCTGTTGAGTGGGTTTCGAAACTAAGTATTAGAGATTACTTTTGAACAGAGAGCAGATTATGGCAATGGTTTAAAAGGGAAGGTCCATTAATTATGTCACGCAAATTTGGCCCATTTTCAACCCCTTCCCCCTTTGTCACATTTTTTATATGGACCTTAAATTATTTTGAATGACTCTTCATAGTTTCCAACCCCCCCTCCCTTAAAGTGTGACATAATTAATGAACAATCCCAAAGAAGCACCTGTGACACCTTGCTGTGAGTGTCTGAATCACAACCAAACTTCTTCATCCAGAATTCCGAGAAACTCATCAGTGGTATTATAAAATGTATCTGGGGTTATGAAATCCCCATTCATCATTCAGGCTGACTCAGAATGCATTAAACATTAATTACGATGCCATGCTCATCAGAATAAAATTATTAATTTTGTTCTAAATGCATCAAATTTCAGCCAATCGATAACAAGAATATTTCATAAAGAAAAATTGGTGGGTTTCAAATAATCGTTTTTTTTTTTTGCGTTTTCGGCATCCTCCTACCTGAATTATCTAAAATCTAACATAGGATGTTTTCGGATATTCATTTGAGTAGCGATTTTTTCAACGAACGCCACCATTTTGGTAATTTTGCGAATTTCGAAAAAAAATCCTATGTTAGATTTTAGATGTTTTAATGAAGAACTCAAAACAATAATTATTTATTTTCTCTGATGTTTCAGTGCTGACAAAACATCGCCTGCATCTGTCTGGTGGCAGGGCTGCCAACATCGGGAAAATTAATATTTCGAGCTGAAAATTTTCGAAAATAAAGCTGAATGTTGCCTAATAACATACTGAAAACCCAAAGTGATTGCATTTTACTAATGTTATAAAAAAATTACAAAACAAACTGTTTATTAGGTATCTCAACAGGTGTATCACCTAAGGTTTTCAAATATAAATCGATCCTTAAAAATCATCCATGTTTAGGGGTCCCACATCAAATTGCATCACGAAAAAACGCTGTAGAAAATTACCTATTTAACTGATCCTTTTGAAACATTCAGATAATAAAAAATAACCCATTAGTAAGCTTCTGGAATATTTATTTCATTCAACTTCAATACCATAACCGTACACTCGCACCTTACGCCTAACTCCACTCAGTAGGTTCTGTACAACATCTGGCTGTAGCTTCTTCTGTACGGAAACTTACTTCATGTCTTCCTCAGATTTGACCTCCTTGGGATGCTTCCGTAGTGCCTGCTTCATAATAGTCCAGTATTTTCCGATGGGCCTTAGTTCCGGTGCGTTGGAAGGTGGGGGGGGGGGGGGTGTTCCGTAAAGTGACCCCGTTGGCTTTGTACTACTCCAGGACAACATTTGAATAGTGGCACGAAGCTACACAAGTAGCAATTTGGGTTTTATGAGGGTTCTGTAGACTATGATTTAGAATGCTGTAAAACCTCGATAAAACTTGCAATGCTACTTGGAGATCCGGCCAGAAGTAGGGTCCTCGTGTTGCTTCAACAGAGGAAGCAGACGCTTCTGTAGACACTCCTTGAAGTAGATCTCCCCGTTTACAGTCGCGGTAGTCACGAACGACGCACTCCATTTGTCACATGAGCAGATCGCTTGCCAAATCATGTATTTCTTGGCAAACTTTGAAAATTTCTGCTCTCTTACTTCCTCCGGAACATCAAACTTGTGCTGGGCGGTGAAGAACAGTAGCCCCAGAAGTTGCCGGAAGTCCGCCTTGACGTAAGTCTCATCGTCCATGATGAGACAATGAGGCTTCGTCAGCATCTGGGTGTACAGTTTCCGGGCCCGTGACTTTCCCACCGTATTTTGCCGTTCGTCACGATTTGGAGCCCTCCCGGTCCTTGGCTCTCTGAAAGAAAGACTTGGACAGATTCAACTTTTAGGCCATATCCCTGACCGAAGCATTGAGATTCCGCTTAAACACTTTCACGACACGCTTGTGATCCTGATCACTAATAGAACATCCATTCTGACCGTATTTCTCCTTCCGTTTGATGCTCAGCGTTTCGTAGTAACATTTAATCACACGACTCACCGTTGACTGCACGATTCCGCAGTTGTTTTCCGATGTCCCGATGAGAGAGTTGAGGATTTTCCAGGTGCTTGCGCAAAATCAATTCGCGACGTTGCTTTTCGGGTGACGCAATTTTTTCCAACTTTTGAAAAACTGACAGCGATAAAAATACAGTGTAAACAATGCACTCTAAACAACTTCTACCCTAATTTTCAAGAGAAAACCTCAATGGGTAATTTCTACAGCGTTTTCCCGTGATGCAATTTTATGTGAGACACCCTTTAATCGGTCTTAAACCGTTGTATGACAGAGATATTTTTTTCTACTCGGGTAGGACATCACGCCTCCAAATGGGTAGTATCGAAAAACAGAAATTTAATTTAAAATTAAACCAGCCATTCAATAAAAGATGAAGAGCCTTGACTTAAGACAACTATGTAGAACAAACCGGTGGAAAGTAACGATTTTAAAATGGCTCACTACTTGGCTAGCCTATTGGTCCCAAGCAAATCGACTAACGTACCCCATTCTAGCCGAAATTCTAGTACTACACCATGTTTGTTTTGATTCGCTATGAACGTTTGACAGATAAAATGAGGGGTTCGTGGGTTTTCCTATGTTTCGAGGGGTGCATCGATTAGCTTGGGACCGATGTTAGTACAAGAGCTGAGCCAAAAAGTTGAGCACGTTTCTTCGGGACCTTCTGGTCTTACACGGATAGAAATCTCCTTATACCTTTTGGCAAATTTCTATTGCTGATTATTCTTAAAATGTATAAGTCAACTAATAAGCAAACGCCTTGCAAAAAGTTAATGAAGATCATGTGTCAAATTGAATGTATAAGCGGTCACACATACCTTTTATGCATTCTTATAGGACCTATGTAGTGTCTTATGGAATGTATAAAGCTGATGTTTTGGCAAAAATGTATAAGTGAAACACATGGATAAAATAATTTATTTTCGTTTCGTGTAGAGTTACCTCTATGGTAAAACGGTCTAAACTGATTGACAACACACAAATAAATAAATTGGAACACAGCCATTTTAACCTGTTTCGCCCCAACTACCATATTCTCAATAAGAACCGTATCAGGTTCAGTTTCATCGTCATAATTACAAGTTATGAGAGTTTTCTTTCCTTTATTTAATGTCGGTCTCTGTTCCGCAATCTAGTCACCGACGGACATCGATTGTCATCCATTGACGGCAATTGAATGTGCGGGAAAGACAGCTTTCACACCTGCGTAGGGCTGGGACCAATGGCTTTACTTCCCTTCCGAAGGAAGACGTGACTAGAGATGTTTATGCCTCAGAAAAATCCCACCGACCTCGGCTGGGATTGAACCCAGCCCCATTGGGGGTGAGAAAGCAGTCACGCTTACCACTACACCACCGGCGCCGGCAAGTTATGAGAGTTATTTTTTACAAAATAAGGGTTTCTGAAGCAAAAGTTGCCTTCACCCCGACTTGTGCTATTCTGTACAAAACGAATCCATTACATTCGATGTCTGAGACTAAGTCTTTTTCATGTAAGTACGACGAATTTGATTAAGTTCCTTCTGTGGGAACAGTACACTGAAAATAAAATTTCGTTTGTTCTACGAATAAAATGGATTCCCTAATAAACGAGCACCATACATGAACCATACCACAAATCGTTCTACAATACCCCATATTGTTGAGATTATAACCCGAATAGGTTATTTGGCACTCCTTATGATTATTTTCGATGCGGGTTTGTACATTGTATGAAGCTAATTTCGTTAGAAGTGCCACACTCGCTATCGCTACACCCAACCAGCGGGCCACAAGTGTTGGTTGTGGAGACCGAAAAATGTGGAATGTGTTAGTGAGGATGGGTAAAAATAACTTCATCATTGGATGAAATAAACATGATAAAAATAAAATAAAAAAGGGTTCAGACCAGACTCGTATCATGAACCTTGCGATAGTCATATCTGTGCCTTGTCCATCGCTCTATCTGTGCTAACGAGAAATGGAAAGGCAAATAAGAAGTACTCATGGAGCGGTAATTCGATTTCGTTAGCTTTTTCTGCTGCTTGCATGTATTTTTTTCCTCTGACATAAAACCACTGCGACCAGTATTTTGATTTATAATGGTAGCTTGCATGTATTGGTCAAACTGACAATATTTCAAACAAAAAAAAAAGTATCCCATCCCCAACGCACAATCAGCACTTTATGAGACAATAAGCGCAGTTGTTGGTTTGATTGTACGAAGATGAATTTGTATATTATACGAATAAGGCGTAATATTGACATTGCGCCAGATTACGAAACGGTTTTCGGAGAAATAACGAAAATACATTTTCAGTGTAGCTACTAAATTATGCGATATTTAGGGAAGAGTGAAAACACTTCAACCCGTTCTAATTTTGAATAAAGCTCAGTTCAAACATCAATTTTTGATGCGGTTTTTGCATTGGCTTAGAGAAAATGACTGCTTCGGTACTTTTTTTTTATCTATTATCGTCAAGAGGGTAAATGAAGTCTTAGAGAAATCATTTTTTTTATGCAGAACAATTCTCTAGAATATGATACCCCTACACAGAGCTGGTAAATATCACGGTCGTCATTTGACAATGAGAAAACAGGTCCTCTCTCTATCATGAGACGAAACTACCTATCATTTGCTTTCTTGTCATTTTCCAATGACAAGCACTCATGAGAATAATTCTTATGCGGTTTTGACATGAACATTTCTAACTGATTTAGAAATGATTAGAGATGAATTTAGCAACCAACCATATGTAATCGGTAGAGTGAATATATTATAAAGTTTTCCTCGGTACAAGTAACTTTAATAGCAATAAATGAGCTAGTAATTACGATGATCACAACACTGTCACGTTCTGTCATGACAAAAATCGAAGAGATTTTGAAGAAAATCTCTATCAAGTGTTGGTTGTGCGAACTCTCTATCAAAGTTTTCTCATCCGATGATAGTGACAGAAGTATCTCTGTAAATATCGCGTGAAAATGACATTTGCCAGCCCTGCCCATGCATGCAATAAGTCAGTGCTGAAGGACTTAGTTTACCCCCTGACCATGATAGATAAAGAAGTGCCGAAACCGTAATTTTTCCTAAGTCAATGCAAAAACTGCACCAAAATTGATATATGAGCTATATTCAAAATTCGGAAAATCCTTACGTAACTTTATAAATATCCTCAATCCTCGAACGAGATTACACAAATCTTAAAAAGCACTTTTTTTTCTAAACGGATCAAAAAAATTATAATTGCTCAATTCAAACATGGAAGAAGCTTTTATTCAGTGTTTCGAGTTGTATTTATGCAATGCTACCAACTATAAGAGCAACCGTACCAATGAGTAAATAAGGCACATTTACCAACCTCTACCATAACGCTACTTGCGTACCGGGGGTTGCTATTCAGATTGGGGAAATAGCAATCCGCACCTTGGGAAGTAGTGAGTTCATAAATTTAGCAACCCGGTAGCAACGCATCAGACGGCTGCTATTTTGAATAAATGCCAAAAGTTTGTTTTGCCGGTGTGGAAAACGGTAACTTAAATTATGACTCTGATAGCAACGACCGGTATGGAGAGGAGTGATTAAGCCAAAATGGAAACGCTGTGCGTAAGAAAAATAGTGCCGCAAATGGCAACGACTGGTACGGCTGCTCTAAGTAAATACAGCAGTAGGCTATGAACTTTCTTTCAGCAATAAAACCCGCATTAATTCCGGTGAAATTTTATATCTGGTTTTCTCGAGACCTGATTTTACTAACTACCGAAAGTTTATGTTTAAACACATGTGCAGACTGTCATAATCACTTCAAAATTAGGGTTTAATGTGTTCCGCTATCCAATCCATATAGGCTGCCACTCGACAGTATATACCGGGTACGCTCTTTTGCCCACAGGAACCCACTCCGAAGGAAACGATTCCGAACTGTACGAATCGGGCACCGTTATAATTGGCAGTGAATCCAAGTGGTCCGCCAGAGTCACCCCTACAGTTATCGACCTTATCCTTACCCCCAGCGCACATTTGATTATCGCTAAGCCGAACGTACAATCGGTTTTCTTTCAATTTCAGGCGACACTCGGATATGTCCACATAGGGTAAAACTGCCTCCAGCAAAATATTGGATTCCTTTTGAGCTTCTGTGGTTCCCCAACCAGTAACAACATAGTTTTCAAACACTTTTTTTTGTAGATCCGCCGTAACGGGTAAACATATTGGTTTTATGTGATCTGTAACGAAATTATGCGAAGTTTGACAAACATATACAGAAACATGTTTTGCTTCATATGGTATTTACCGTTCATAGTAACATCTTTATCCAGTCGAATCAATCCAATGTCGTTGCTGTATTTCGGTCGATTGTAATCCTGGTGAACGTCGAACGAGTCAATCCCGAACTCCTCAATCGGTCCAGCGCAGTCCCTTTCGATTTCTTCACCCTTGCTATTATGATAAATGTTGCAATCAATGTCTTGGCCCTTGGTATGTTCTCCGAGTACGACGCTATGTCTGGAACAAGGAAATGATACAATGAGTAATTCTTTGAACAAAGTAGTTTTCATTTAACTTACATTTCCATAGAACTTCCCCTCTTGAGACAATGTGCAGCCGTCAAGATGTACCGCTTGTTGATCAGCGATCCACTACATCCACCTACGATTGCACCATTGTTATCGTACCGTAGAACAGCCATCCAGGGGTAGCTAAACACTTTAGTAATATTTCCGTAAGCGAGCCTATCGTCGACTCTTAGGCCACAGTCTCTGGGTAGTAGATTAAAGTTTGCGCCTAAAGCAGGGCTGGCCGTTGTCGTAGGCGGCTCCGGGATAACTTCTGCCGGCTGACAGCAAATACTACGCGTCACTCCCGGTAGCGTGCAGGCAGCCCTTTTGATGTAGTTAGCAATGCCCGTAGACGGTGGAGTTGGATTGCTAACTATGGTGTAGATGTTTCGACACCGTTCGATCAAGACGCACGAACCGGGGTGCTTGGTTGGAGTTGTACATGGGGCACTTTCTGTTGAGTGGGTCAATACTAAAGGCCCAAGCGCAATGTGGGCGGAAGCGGACCGGAAACGGAAAATTTGACAATTGTCGCTAATGACATCAAGATGCCTAACCGAAGTCGATTTGATTCTAACTAGTTTTCAATCCGACAAGTAGGCTTACTCAGATCGGGCTTTTCCGCTGTCGTTGCCGTTCCGCTTCCGCCGTCATTGCGCTTGGGCCTTAAGCATTGGATATAACTTTTGAACAGAGAGCAGATTATGAGAAATTTCATCCTAGCAATGGTTTAAAAGAAGCACCTTATTGCTGTGAGTGTCTGAATCACAACTAAACTTCTTCATCCAGAATTCCGAGAAACTCATCAGTGGTATTATAAAATGTGTCTGGGGTTTTGAAATTCCCATTCATCATTTAATTCAGGCTGACTCAGAATGCATTAAACATTAATTACGATGCCATGCTCATCAGAATAAAATTATTAATTTTGTTCTAAATGCATCAAATTTCAGCCAATGGATAACTAGAAGCCTTCATAAAGAAGGGTTGGTGGGTTTCAAAAAATCGTTTTATTTTTTCATTTTCGGCATCCTTATACACGGTTAGAAAAAAGTACCCAAAATTAAGTTCTTTTCACTCATCTCGGCACTATAGTGCAGGAACCCAAAAGTAAGTAAAGCGGGTCAAAGTAATTTTCATTTACTTGTGTGCAGTTCGTATGGAATTTTCCACTGGCTTTTTAACCAAAAGTATGTTACTTGTACCTAACAGTAGGTAAATATGATTATACTCAACGTTGGGTTCCCACACTTTACTACCCCTGTTGGGTGGTTTTGCTCCTCCGTTTTTGACAACATTAGAAGGAGAAAAGGAGACAAACTAGTCAAAAGTAGGTAAAAGTGAACCCAACCCAACGGCCAGGGTACTTTTTTCTTACCGTGTACCTTTTAGAAAGGTGTGTCAAAATGCCAATTCGCTACACAAAGAATGTAAGTCGCTGTTATTCGTTTTTTAAACGCACTTAAATATAACTTAAATCACGAAGACTATTCGATAGATCTACCCGCTTACAGTCGCGGTAGTCACGAAGGGCGCACTCTGTTTGCCACATGAGCAGATCGCATGCCAAATCACGTTTTTCTTGGCAAACTTTGAAAGTTTCTGCTCTCTTACTTCCTCCGGAATATCAAACTTGTGCTGAACGGTGAAGAACAGTAGCCCCGGATGCTGCCGGAAGTCCGCCTTGACGTAAGTCTCATCATCCATGATGAGACAATGAGGCTTCGTCAGCATCTGGGTGTACAGTTTCCCGGCCCGTGACTTTTCCACCGTATTTTGCCGTTCCAGCCCTCCCAGTCCTTGGCTCTCTGAAAGAAAGACTTGGACAGATTCAACTTTTAGGCCATATCCCTGACCGAAGCATTGAGATTCCGCTTAAACACTTTCACGACACGCTTGTGATCCTGATCACTAATAGAACATCCATTCTGACCGTATTTCTCCTTCCGTTTGATGCTCAGCGTTTCGTAGTAACATTTAATCACACGACTCACCGTTGACTGCACGATTCCGCAGTTGTTTTCCGATGTCCCGATGAGAGAGTTGAGAACTTTCCAGGTGCTTGCGCCAAATCAATTCGCGACGTTGCTTAACGGGTGACGTAATTTTTTCTAACTTTCGAAAAGGTGACAGCGATAAAAATACAGTGTAAACAATACACTCTAAACTAATTCTGACCAAATTTTCAAGAGAAAATACCCAATGGGTAACTTCTACAGCGTTTTTTTTCCGTGATGCAATTTGATGTGAGACACCCTTTATAGTATTTCTCATACACTCATAAAATAAATCACATAACCAGTGGAAAATATTCATGTGAATTTCACATAACTTTCATGTGATCCCATAACGTTATGTGTCCAATGAAATCTATATGATTTCTCATATAAAATTTCTAATGCTATGTGATATTCAGGTAAAAATCATTGTTTTTGTTTTTGGAAAAATACAATGTGCGTTCCTAATAGAAACTAAGTGAAAAAAATTTCAGTGTAGGTACCACACAATTGTTTCTGGCAATTAGTCAAAAAATCTGATCAACCTCCATGAATTTTAAAACATAATCATTTAAGGAAACGAAAAAATATGATACCAAATTAAGTCCTAATTTTAAAATTGCCAACATGGAAATTTTTTGCAAGGTTCGCTCAGATAAATTCGATATTTTTTTTCTCGGAGGCGAACCAGCCTCTGGCTGAAAACCTCCCTAATGAAGAAAACTTAACTTAACTTTTTTTGTGAACTAAGACTTGGAATTTGTTTAGGAGGTCTCGTGTGTGGTTTTCATTTTCAGTAGAGAAATTTATAATAGCCTACGTTTAAAATAAAAATCAAGTGATTACACCGGACGGATTAGTCTATGGTGACATTGGGCTATCGAAATCAGCTGACATAATCTTCTTGATAATTTATGAGAATAAGGGTCAGTCAGTGTAACCGTCTTTGTCGATCTCTTTACGTTTGTCATGGTCATTGTTATGAGTGTTTTCTCAATGTGTATATTCTTGTCAATGTCAATATTGTTATAAGTATCCATGGAAGTATTTATCCAGTTATTTACCACTTTTTCCACCAATTGGTTATAGTTCTTCCTAATCTCCTACTTTAAACTGCATTCAAAAATATTATGAGTATGAGCATGATTGACCGCCCACGGTTGCTACTCTGTTATTGCCAGACCAGCTATAATTACACAGAGAACCAATAGACGATGCTTGGGACTAGCAATCATCTTCAATGTGTAAAAACTGGTCATCTCAAATTAGGCAATACCAGCGCCGGCCGCGCCCGAACACAGGTCATGAAAGGAAAGGGTAGGAATGTGTTGACGTGACACTCGCTTTGGTGGAAACCGAGAACACCTCTGCACTTCCACGAGCAATCACTGGGATATTGGGTAAGATTGGGTTGGGTTGGGATTGCAGCAGGTTTCGTTTTGGTAAACGATAAGCTGAATTGATGTCCTAACGATCATATAACGCGAAGGAGCTTGGGATTGAACTCACGGTCTGCTGCTCAGTAAGCAAAAACGGTTACTCTAAGGCCACCGAGCCCCTCATATCACATTATACCGTTACTCAGGTTGTTGTAACTATTCAAACCCGGCATCGACGACAACGAATTTTTTTTACAAAATACACGATAAACAAGCGATATTACCAACCGGTGGAAACTAACGATTTTAAATTGGCTCACTACTTGACTAGCCTATTGGTCCCAAGCAAATCTATTAACGTATCCCATTCTAGTAGAAATTCTAGTACAACACTATGTTTGTTTTGATTCGCTATGAAAGTTTGACAGATAAAATGAGGGGTTCGTGGATTTTCCTATGTTTCGAGGGGTGCATCGATTAGCTTGGGACCGAAGATAGTACCAAAGCTGAGCCAAAAAGTTGAGCTCGTTTCTTCGGGACCTTCTTGTCTTAGAGTTACCTCTATGATATTACCATAGAGGTAACTCTAAGACTAGAAGGTCCCGAAGAAACGTGCTCAACTTTTTGGCTAAGCTCTGTTACTCTCTTTTGTCCCAAGCTAATCGATTCACCCCTCGAAACATAGGAAAATCCACTAACCCCTCATTTTATATGTCAAACTTTCATAGCGAATGAAAACAAACATAGTGTAGTACTAGAATTTCAGCTAGAATGGGGTACGTTAATCGTTTGCTTGGGACCAATAGGCTAGTCAAGTAGTGAGCCAATTTAAAATCGTTAGTTTCGTATTGATTGTTGATATTACCACAGACAAACAGATGTAACACTTCATTGTGTATCTTCGTTCACGCATTTAACGGTTGATTTGAATATTATCAGTTCCGCGAACTACTCGCCGCAGCGCTGGCATCGCATCACTTTGACGTTTCTATACATTCTATAGAAGTTTTATGCAATATTGTTTGCGAGTAAGAGAGCAAGCTTGTTTTCCGCGAGAAGCCCGCGAGGTGTCGTTACTGAGGTCCTATGTTTTGAGATACTATGTTTTCAAGACAAACTTTTTCAAAGAGTTACGTCTGTTTGTCTGTGATATTACCATACATGTTTAATATGAAAGGACCTGGGACCGCGTTTTTCTGCTCAGTAAACAAGCCACTGCAACCGACAATCTTTCAAATCCTAAACTAAAAGCTACGAAAGAGTACTTAGGCCTTCATTAAGTTCCACTTTCACGCGACGTTCAATGTTTTGATTTGCTCTTTACGCATGGTTCAGGCAATCATAACAAGCTATGACCGACGTGACGATTGTTTAAGCCCTGGTTAAACAAGCTATTCAAATGAAATTACGTTCTCGAATTTCACTTGGTATGTAATGAATAACAGAAATACGCGATAATTCTTATAGTTTCAGCCGTTGATGGTAAATTTTTAATATACTAACGGTACTGCCTACGGCGACTACGACGGCGAATACGACAGCGAATACGACGGGGAATACGACGGCGCCTACGGCAACGACAACATCGAATGTGTAACTTACCATTTGTCTAACACCTTTGCCCGGCACCTCCACTTGAGCTTCACCACCAAAACTCACGGCGGACACATTATCAGCACTTTCCCCAGCTAATTTACTAACCGGACCATGTTCAAACTCGCACACGGTGACGAGACTCTCGATAGAACTACACGCCAAAAGCGTAACATCCGAACACGGTGAACCGGCCTCCCGGTAGGCAACGAAAATCACAATCACACTTACACACCGCTGGTTACAAAAACACACCCGTGCAACGAAACGGATACAATGAACTACTTTAAACTGCATTCAAAAATATTATACATAAAAACAGCTTTGTTCAAGTACATACCTTAAAATGTCTAACTTTCTATCCACGTTTGTCTACGTTACTAATACTAAAATGCAAATCACAATGTTATGACAAAAAGTTATTCAAAAAAGCAGCCCAATGTCTAAACAATTACTAAAACTTTACCTAAATCATTTCCAATCAG